AGAGGAAAAGGAGGGGTTCTTTTTCTAGTTAATATTTTAACAAAGGGATCTGACTCTCCACCAGCAATGACAGAACAGCCAGGTGTGGTGCGATGATCGAAGCACTACAGGGTGAGGCAGGAGGATCAGGGTAAATTCGAGGCCAGCCTAGGACACACAGTGAGTTCAAGGCCAGCCTGGACTACACTGCAAGACCCTGTCTCAAAAAACAAAACAAAAACAAATGACGGAACAGACACCAGAGCCCCGCAGGCTCTCTGTGTCATCTGGGGGTGTTCCTGTCAAAGACGTGGGACATGAATCCAAAGCATCCCAGGGGGATGCGCTCAGAAGCCTCCAGGCTGTGGGACATCTTTGTGAGGTCAACCTCACAAAGAACAAGAAAGGGCGGGAATACTGTTCCACAGCAGGGTCAGCAAGCCTTTTCTTTTTCTATTTTTATTTATTTATTTATTTATTTATTTATTTATTTATTTGTAACGGGGATCAAACTCGGGTCCTTGTGCTTGAGAGAGGCGGTGGAACCACTGAGCTAAATCCCCGTCCCAGCAAGCCTTTCCTGTAAAGGGCCAGAGGGTAAATAGTTTATATTTCGTGGGTGAAGGAGTCCGGGAAATATCAGAGTACGCCACGCTGGTGCGCTGGTCCCTTTAAGCTCGCCCTCATTCTCCTCCAATGTGATGAAGGCAGATTCTCCAGACAGAGCCCAGCTCCCAGGAAAACCCTCCCAGAAAATTGTTCTCTCTGAGATGATCAACACCCATGGGAGAAAGGCGATTTCTACACCCGGTCCAGACAGCATCCCATCTCTCCACTCGCAGCCCAGCCCGCTCTCTAGGGTCACGTACTCTAGCGAGGCTGCCTACATCTCGCCTCTTCCGCACTGGGCTCAGGGGCTCACTTTCATTCCTGCAATGCCCAGTGCACCGTAACACACCCACCGACGGCCTGACTGACTCACTGAATGCATGGGACCCAGGGCCTTGAACATGCTAAGCATACGCTCTACCACTCAGAAGCTCCCGACCAGCTACCAGATCAGTCTTACACTATTAACTTCTATTAGCTACCTCAGGGCGACCATACGCAAGCTTACACACAAGGCTGTGTTACCACCAAACTTGATTCACAAACTCAGGCAGTGGACTGCACGGCCAAGCCGTGCTGTACATTAGAGGATAGTGAAATGGCATGATAATCGTAGCGCCAGATCCCTGAGCAGACCCCGGATTCCTCACCATGATCACCTGCTGACAAGGTCATTCGGGGACAACCAGAACGCTTCCCAGGAGAAAAAGGCTGAAAAATGTAGGAGTGAAGTCATGTAACCCTCAACTTACATCCAAAGAGCTGTGAGGAAAAGAGCGTGAGTGCACGCGCGCGCGCGCGCACACACACACACACACACACACACACACACACGAGCCAGAGCAGAAACAGCATAGCTGCTGAAGGTGAACACCCGACAAGCCAGGAAGTCACGGTGCATAAGCAACAACTCTATTACTCTTTCCACTTCTCTGAAGCATTAAAACTTTAAGAAGTTGGGTGAAATATCCCAGAAGCTGACCCTCCTCCCCACTCACGTCCTGCCTGGACCTCAGGAGGGGCCTCCACCCTGCGGCCGCCCTCACCCCACAAGGCCAAGGGCTCCAGGCTGGTGTAGCCTGGTGGTACAGCACTTGCCTGGCATGTGCAAGGCCTTTGGTTCCACCCCAGGTTAGGGAAACAACACAGACGACATATTATGTATACAGACTTACTATATATAATATTTCATTATTGAATACTTATATTTTACATATATGTTACTTTAGTGGAGGTGGGGATACCATCGAGGGCTTCAAACATGCTAGTCTAGCAGTCTAGTCCCGAGCTATAACCCTGGCCCCTGTATTTTATATTTCATCTATCTAATTAAATATAGATTATTTATTCATCAAGTTATATATTTATGTAATATATAAATATGTGCTATTTCTATAATATAACTCAGACTCTGTTCCCCTGCTGCATGAATCCCCCAGGAGTCCGGTCCAGCTCAGAGCCAGGCCAAAGCATCAGCAGCGGCCCACAGGTAAGGGGCCAGCTACCCGCTCCCATCACCCCCACTTCCCATACTGCAGGCACTCTTAGCCCTGAGCCTCCCCCGGTGCAGATCCGGCTAGAATGTTCCCTACTCCAGGTACCGACACTTCCTATTCCCTCACCTCGTACCTAAAGTTACAGCCTTTTCCAAACACACTTCTGCACTCTCCCCGCCGCTCCAGGACTGGGAATCAAACCCAGGGCCTTTGTACAGAGCTGCACTCCCGGTGCTTTTCTCTGTATTTTAAGACAGGGTCTCACTAAGTCACTAACAGTGTCCAGGCAATGTTGTCCAGGCAGAGCTCAAACTTGGGATCCTCTGGCCTCAGCTTCCCACAGTGCTGGGATTACCGATGTGCTCCACCTCAGCTTCCCGATGATTTTTTCCCAGAGCAATTACCACTATCTAATGTAGTTCACAGTCTCTTTTTCTTCTTTAAAGTTCATATTCTAACTACTGATTTCATTTTTTGTCTCGTTTCCCCTACCAGAATGTAAGGCCCTAGCTGGGTGTGGCGACACAGGCCTGTAATCCTAGCACTCAGGAAGCTGAGGCAGGAGGATCACAGCGAGTCTCAGGCCAGCCTGGCCTACAGCAAATTCAAGGCCAGCCTGAACTACATAGTGAGAATATCTCAAAGGAAAAAAAAAAGTCCTGGGGATGAGAGTAAGATTTTTCTTTTTTCTTTTTTTTTGCCTTTTCCTTTTCCTCTTTGTTATATCCATAACATTTACACCTCAGCTATGACTGTACCAAGCAATGATTAACATTCTATGCCCACTTAATCCTTATAATAGCACAGTATTATTTATAGTATAAATGCATACATAGTATATACAAAATGGGAATACTAGGAGTAACCCCCCCCATAATTATAATTTGTGAAGATTCAATGTCATAAAGACAGGTCCAAAGTAAGTGCCCAATAAATGGTATTATATAATATCCCTGATACAGAAGTGGAATGTGAGGCTCAGAGAGATTAAGTGACCAGCCCAAAGTCACCAGCCTGAGAAGGGGTGGGGCAAGGATTCGAACACACCTCTGTGTGGCTCCATAAACCATCCATCTTCTTCTAAACCAGAGTGTTAGCCAGGGATGGTGGCGTATGCCTGTGATCTCAAGCACTTGGCAGGCTGAGGCAGGAGGATCACCACAAACCCAAGGCCACACTGGGCTCCATATTGAGATCAAGGCCAACCTTTTTGAGATCCTATCTCAAAAAAAAAAAAAAAAGTGAATGAAAGATAAACCACAGTGTTTGAAGAAGGATAGGAAACAGACAGTTCTGTGAGTTCAGAGTGTAAGTCCCCCTGGCACAGCCATGTGTGACCTCAGCATTTTTCTTCTGCCCCCAAAGCCTCAGTTCTTCCTCCTGTAAACTGGAGGACGTCATTCCCTCTTCCTGACATGGAGACAAAATGGTTGTGAAAGTGGCTAGGTGTGGTGGTGCATGTCTGTACTCCCAGTACGCAGGAGGCTGAGGCAGAAGGATCATCGAAAGTCTAAGGCCAGCCTACTAAGTCCCAATTCCTAGTGAGTCCCAGTCTCCAAAAACAAACAAACAAATGATTGTAAATATAATGACATAACTGACACAAAGCACTCTGGATACCAGGAAACCTAACATTTTCCCACTGGAAGATCTGTACCCTGGCGGAGGTCTCACCAAGCAAAAAAGAGCAGAAATTTTCAAGCATATAGGGAGAGAAAAGTCTCCTCTTAACCATCTGACCTCTGCACACGCCCCTCCCCCTGCCTTAACACTGTCCTTGCCCGTGTGGTCTGGCGAGATTCTTCTCACCCTTTGGGTCCCAGTGTAGATATCTCCTTTGCCAGGACTGCACTCCATACCTGGTCTTGTGTCCCAACTCACTCCATCTAGGTTATCACTTTGGGAGATGAGTCTGGCCCCACTGGACTGCGAGCTCTTTGAGGGCACAGTCTGGGACCGGCTTGGACCCTGCTGTCACAAGCATTGTCAGCACAAGATCTGGCACAGAACACGTGTTCATAAAACACAAGCTAAATGAAGTCATGGGTAGATCCATAGCAGTACCCTCACCCAACAAGTTATAGGACTTTTATGCTTCACCGGTCTACAGCACGTAGACCATCTTTTTTAACATATTGTGAGCATTTACTATGGCCTTCAAATCCAGCTCGGGCGGCTCCCCTCAGGCAGCTTCCTGACTCCAAACCCTGTATGGCCTGGGTCCTCTGAACTCGCACTCCCATCGGCCTGACCACTCCGGGTTGACGCTGCCGGGTCAGGAGTGCATCCCCTAGAGCGTAGCAGAAACCTCACAGTCTGTCTAACGGACGGTGTACGAATATCCACTCTGGTGTGTATTCCCCTTTTGCTCGATCCTAAATCCGCCCTCGGACTCCAGACTTCCGTCCCTACTTCGTCCCAATCTAGGCCTAATGCCCAGAGTCAAACCAAGACACACCGATTTTCTAAACGCCCTTCACTCCCTAAGACAGCAGGGAAACTTAAGGCACTAGGTGAGATTAGGGGAGCTAAACCGACTAAGGATGGCTTGGCAAAGTCCAGTTCGGCTACTCTCCCGTCCCGCCCCTAGTTCCTCCTCTCAGTCCCGGAGAGCCCCGCCTAAATTGCTCTTTTCCGAGATGATTGGTTTGACAGGACGTCAGTCTCCACAAACTCTCTTCTTCTATTGGCTGGTATTCCAAACTCGCACGGTGACACCCTGCCCCACCCCTTACCCTCTGCCCGTCCGTACTATTGGGTTACCAGTATGTCCCTCTTCCAGGGCCCCTCCCTGTTGGCTACAGGACTTTGCCGGTTCGAGCTGTGATTGGCCGTAGAGAGATGTCCATCCCCGGAGCAACAACCTGAGAGGGGTTGGAGACTCAAAAGGTTGGAGGGACGTGGGGTCAGACTCACGCTGTGCTGGCGGAAGACATATATAGGTCTTGAAGAACTCGCTTCGGCGGGCAGCCTCCTTAATGCGGTTGGCAAGCGGCTTGCTGACCTGCCGGATGCCGAGGTATAGCAGCTTCGCCATAGGGAACGCGCCCACCACCATCTTGGCGGTCGCACGGGGCACGCGCAACCTTGCTGACGGGGCGGGGCGCCTCCAACCTAACCTCCCCACTCCTCCCGCCCTCCCTGGACGTGCGTGCTGACGTACGTGCGTACGCACGCTCAGGGGTAACTGTAGGGGCGCACCCTGATGTCACTACGTCTGCGCTGACGCGTCGACGTCTGTTTGATGAATATGCAAATATATACAACGGAAGTGAGGCAGTCAGAGGCGGCGCGGTTAAACGGCTGCACGCGGGAGCGTGGATGGAGTCCAGACCCTGCGACGATGATGTCACCACGCCCTTGCGTGATGTCATGTCGCGCACTGAGCATCTCCGACCAAAGGAGTCTCTTAATTAGTCCTAATTAGATCTAATGAGTCCCAAATACACTACTACCCCCATCCCACCCCAGCAGGTTAGTGCTCTTGCTGGGAGTAAGAGGAAATCGATTGCATAGTCCAGATTTAGAATTGCACTTCCTTATTTACTCGCTGTGTGCCATTTGACTAGTGGCTTAACCTCTCTGGACATCAGTATCACTCTTTACAACACCGGTCTCAGAATAACACAGAGCAAAGCTGGGTGTGGTGGCACATGCCAGTAATCCCAGCACTTGGGAGGCTGAGGCAGGAGGATCGCTGTGAGTTCGAGACCAGCCTGGGCTACATACCGAGTTCCAGGTCAATCTCAACTACATAGTGAGACCCTGACTCAAAAAAACAAAACAAAACAAACAAAATAACACAGAAGAAAAAAAAACGAATTACACTGGAGAAGCGGAGGCTGAGGCAAGAGGTTCGCCATAAATTCAAGGCTCAGCCCAGCCTAATCTACACACGGAGACCCGGCTTGGAAAGAAAAAGCACTTTTTAGTGGTTGTGAGGCTTGTATACCGTGACCCCAGAAGCAGCCTGCTAACCTTCTCCTTTCCCAGCTACCAGAGACTGCAGACCAGAGAGGCAGGGGTGGGAGGCTCCCAGGCTGCAGATATTCAGAGCCCCGCGTGCTGGCTAATAAAACCCGTTCTCAAGCAGCCCACTTCCTCCTCTGGGGGCTGAGGGTCCCCGGGGAGGTGGCTCAGTAAGGAGTTTTAAGGACATGTCCCAGACTGTCCTCCCTTACCAGCAGGGAGGAAAATCATATAAACAAGGTCGAGAAGAAGTGAAGAGAAATCCTGGTTGGTGGAGAGCTGGTGGTAGTGGAGAGACTGAAAGAGAGGCAAGGAGGCAGTAGGGTGGAGGGAGGCTCGTGAGGTGGGGAAAAGTTCAGCACACAGGGTTAGGGGGCCTGGGCTTTCCTCCCGGAGAGTCCTGCCAAGCCCCAGCCCCAAGGGACCTATGCTTCATTTGTAAAGATGGTGCTGGGAAGCTGGGCCTAGTGCCGTGTGCAAGTAAACCCAGCACTCAGGAAGGCTGAGGCAGGAAGATCTAAGTTCAAGCCCAGCTTGGGCAACTTACTGAGATGCTGTCTCAAAAATAAAAATTAGGGCCGCACAGTGTGAAGGCCCTGGGTTCAGTCCCCAGACAGAAAAAAAAAAAAAGTAAATAAAAGTGAATGCAAGCCCGGCCCACTCCCAATAAGACCCATCATGCACTTGGGACGAGTGTCTTCCCCTGGTACAGACCGGCCACCTGGGGCCAGAAGGTGGAAGAGATTTGCCCAAGGCCTTCTTTAGATCCCTGCGTGGGTTATCATGGGGCCCAAGGACCTATTAGGGACTGAGGACCAGGCTGATGGGTTTAGAAAACTTCCAAACATGTATATGACTCTTTCTGTACTGCTGTTTCCTGAGCTCTTACAATAGTGCCAGGCACACAGTAGATGCTCAATAAATATTTACTGACTGGACAGAAAGGAGCATTTGGTGGGAGGGGGCTATGTTCAGCAGCTCAAGGTGGTGGGAGGAGGGGGCCGACCGCCCAGATCCTAAGCCTCTCTGCTTCTTTACCCCGCAACACACAAACCCCACCTCCTGCACCTCGGGCTCCCTGCCCTCCGTGCCACCTCACCCCTTCGCCACAAAGTCATTTTTCTCACGAAGTGCATTGCTTTCCCATTCCCCTCTTCCCGCCTCTTCCTTTCTCCGAGAAGCGTTTCCAGGAAGCTCTTCTGGGAACTTCTAGGGCAGGACGGAGGCGGAGGATCTTCACATCTCAGCTCAGGAGCCTGCATCCACCCCTGCTCCAGGAGGGCTGAGGGCTGGCAGGGCGGGTGCTTCCTCTTCTCCAGCCCTGGTGACCTTGAGGCTGGGGGAGGGGGTGGACAGACAGGGACACCACCAGCCAGGACAGCCGCCTTGGCGACCCTGGGGCGTGGGAACAGATGCCGGAGTGGGGAGGGGCGAGCGAGCCCAGCATGGCCCAGCACTGACTCACCGGCCCTGAGTCCTTGGACCCCTCGCCGCCTTCCACTGCAGCTGACATCACTCCCAGAGGCCCTTTCTGCCCAGGTCCCCCAGCACCCTCTTCCCAGAAGAGGACGAGGGGCTCATGTTACACAATCCCACAGGCCCTGGGCTGCTTCCATCAATGCATTCCTGCAGAATAAAGTCAAGCGCTGACCACTGCCCCGCCTGGTCCTCCACTTCCACCGGGTCGGGCACCCGCATGTCCAGCCTAAATTTTGGCACTCACCACCTCACCAGGTCCCTGGCTTCTGCCTTTACCTCCTGCCTTCCGCTCCTGCTCCGCAGCCAGCAGGATCCCATTAACACGGAAGTCAGATCACTTCAGTTGACTGCTCAGAGCCTCCCTGTGGCTCCTGTTTATCTGAGTAAAAGGCAAATCCTTACCAAGACAAGCAGTCTCACACCATCTGCCTGTGGCCGCTGTCCCATTCCTCTTGCCCTGCCGACCTGTGCTCCAGCCACATGCTGTACCACTGGTCCCTCAAACTTTGGAGTTTTTTTTTTTTAACCCAGGGCCTTTGCACTTGCTGTTCTCGCTCCCTCGAATGCTTTTCCCACAGTAGCTACAGGGATGACCACATCGCCCCTTGAGATCCTTGCTCTAAGCACTGCCGTGAACCCTCCCCGATCTTTCTCATCTAGCTTAGGCTCCCAGTCACATTCTGTCTCCTCCACCAGCTCTGTCTTTTCCACTTCAATGTATCAATTCCAAACGTTGTATTTATTTTTTATTGTTATCCTTGATTTTTGAGACAGGGTCTTGCTGCGTAGCCCAGGCTGGCCCGGAATTTGCCGTCTTCCTGCCTCAGGTATATAGCTGAGGCCTCAGGTATAATCCCACCGTGCCCAGCTTAGATTTACTTTTTCATTTGCTGTCCCTGAACCCCCATGAATGGGGCCAGGGCTGTCGTGTCTGTTGCTGTATCCTGAGCTTCTATCGACACAGGCTGGGCGCAAATCTCAAGTGAATGAATGAATGGATGGATGAAATTTCTCCCCTTGTCCTGAGCCTCCTCCACCCACGCCTCCTGCAGGCAGTCTGCTCTGATTGCTTTTCACTTTCTTTCCCACACTCTCTGTCCTCTTCCTCAGTGCCTACTCAGAGAACATTGCGGATAGAGACTCTCAGAACCCGTCTGTCTGGTACCCTCTCCCCCAGGGATGCCCCAAGGGCAAACGCTCTGATTTTCTCCTCCCACCTGCACTGGAGTCACAGCTCCTACTCCCCTGTTGGAAATAACCCTTTCTTGGTGTCTTCACCCTTTGGAAACCAGATATTTGACCTCATCAACTCCTCCGGTCCTCCAGGAAGCCCTCTGTGACCCCAGAACAGTAGCAGGGCCTGGGGTCCACGGGCCACTGTATCACTAGCACTGACCAGCTCAGGGTTGGGGGGTGAGACAACTGTGAGGGGTCACGCGGAGGAGGTGGGTGACAACGACCCATCAGCCATACACTCTTCCTGTTACATTCTCATGAGCGTCAGCACGGCCTGTTTCCTAGTCCGCAGACAGCAGACCTGGGGAAGAGGGCCCGGCCGAGATTTGAACGTGGGGCTCACTGTGCAGGCAGCAGCACCTTGAGCGGCACCTGGTCGCCCTGGGAGGGCACGGCTGCCACCCAGCCGCCCGGCTGGCCCTTGGCCACGCTGCTCCTCTTGGAGGTGAGCGGGGTCTCCAGGGTAAGGGACGCGTTGGCCATCTCCTGGGGCTTGTCGCTGGCCAGGAAGCGGAGCAGGTTATGCAGGGCCTTGGCCACGTCGCTGCGGGCGCCCTCGTTGACCAGGCAGTAGAGGATGGGGTCGGCGACGCAGTTGAGGCTGGTGAAGGCCAGCGAGCTGTGGTAGGCGGAGAAGATGCGCTCCTCGAAGCCGCAGTCCCAGGGGCGGCCCAGGTAGACGGCGCTGCGCGAGAGCAGCAGCACGTGGTAGGGCGCGAAGCAGACCAGCACGATGGTGATGAGGCTCAGCGCCAGCCGCTTGATCTTGGCCTTCTCCTGGCGCTCGGTGGACACACTGCTGCGCACGGCCCGCAGGATGCCGCGGTAGCACAGTAGCATGAGCGCCCAGGGGAAGAGGAAGCCCACGAAGACGCGGTAGAGGTTCATCCAGGCCACCCAGCCCTCCATGGGGAACTTCTCGAAGCAGAAGGTGTGGTTGTATCGGTCTCGAAAGAGCTCGTCGTGGAACAGCGGCGCCGAGTTGGCGCCCAGCTCGGTGGCCCAGACCACGGAGCTCACGGCCACGGCCGTCTTGACGCGGCGCAGGCGCACGAAGCGCAGCGGGTGCGCCACGGCCAGGTAGCGGTCCACGGAGATGCAGCACAGGAAGGCGATGCTGATGTAGATGTTGGTGTAGAAGATGAAGCCGAAGAGCTTGCAGGACCCCGGCCCGTGGATCCAGTTGTCGTGGTGCAGGAAGTAGTCGACCCAGAGCGGCAGCGTGCAGATGTACAGCAGGTCGGCTACGCTCAGGTTCATCAGGTAGACGCCCAGCTCGTTGTGCTGCCGCACCTGGCGGTAGGCGGCCCACAGAGCCAGGCAGTTGGTGGGCAGCCCCATGCCGATGACGAAGATGTAGAGGGACGGCGGGAAGAGGTGGTCCACGCGCGAGTCCACGTGGCAGCCCTCCCACGAGCGGTTGCCCATCCTGGGCACTGCGGCTTCCTGGGCTCTTCCCCCGCACCGGGGCTGCCGGGCCGTGAGGGGCGGGAGGCCATCGGGCCCCCTGAGCCCCCTCCTCGGAGGCGCAGGGGAGCATGACAGCCCCGCGGAAGGAAAGAGGAGATCAAGGTGAGCGCTCGGGCGGCTGGGGGGACACAAGAGGATAAGGGTGGAGGATGGGTGGGAGTCAAAGGGCTGTGGGAGAGGTGTGTGCAGGACCAATCAGGATATAAAGCTGGATGTGTGGGTGTACACCTGTAGCCCTGGCATTAGGGGGGCTGAGGCACAAGAGTCCCAATTCAAGCCTAGCCTGAGCAACTTAGCCAGATCCTGTTTTTGGTTTTGTTTTTGCAGTACTGGGGATGGAACTCAGGACCTTACGCTTGCGAGGCAGGCACAGCGCCCCTGAGCTAAATCCCTGCCCCAGCCAGATCTTGTTTTAAAATTTAAAAAGATAAAGTAAAAAGGGGTAGGGATGGGATTTAGTGGAAAGGCCTTGGGTTCAATCTCTAGTGCAAAAAACAGTTTGGGGTAGTGGAAAAATGGGCAAGGGCCAGCTAAAGGAGGAGATAGAAGTACCCGCGGACAAGGGTGAGGGCGACACTTCCAGAGGACCTAGAAAGTAAGTGTGGACCTGCTGAAGTACATACTGTTGGGGTGGAATGTTCTAGAAGACACAGAAAATACACAGGAAGGCGTTGAGACAGAGCATGGGAGTTTGGGAAGACTGGCAGTACGGGCAGGAACGCTGGATTGTCCCGAGATCCTGGCAGGAAATAAGGAAATGCGTAAAGCTGTGGTGAGTAGGTCTCAGAAAGGAGCTGTCCTGTTGGGTGGGCAGAGGAAGGGCAGGGACTGTGGGAGGGCTGCTGGGAAACAGGAAGGAGGTGAGCAAGGGCCAGATCACAGGAGGCTCACCGTTAGGGGCAGGAGGGGAGTAGCCGAGGGGAGGGGTTCCGGTTCCGTCCTGGTGGGGTTGGAATGACACGGTCCCAGCTCTCAATCACGGACAAAGCTGAACTTGCAGGGCCTGCAGGGAAAGAGGACAGCAGTGAGAAGCCACTCCTTCCCACACCCTCCTGTCATCCTTGTGGACGTAGAGGGTGGGCGCCCTGATGGTCCCTGCTTGAAGGCCAGGTACCTTTTTTTTTTTTCTTTTTTGGTACCAGGGATTAAACTCAGGACTTGCGCTTTCGAGGCAAGTGTGGCACCACTGAGCTAAACCCCCAGCCCTAGACCAGGTACCTTTATTCCCAAGTAGGTGCTACAAGCCAGGTATGGTGGCGCAGGCCTGCAATCCCAGAACTCAGGAGGCTGAGGCAGGGGGATCATTATGATTTCAAGGCCAGCCTGGACTACATAGGTAAGACCCTGTGTCAAGAAATGATGCTACAATAAAGATCTTAGAACTTTCTCCCAGAGACTACAGAATGGGCACAAGTTCATATCACAAGCTGGGCAACAGTGGAGTAATTAACCTCATCACTTCATGGGGGGCATGGAGGCTGGGACACTGCCTTCAGGATCACAGCAAGGAAGCGATGGAACCCGCAAGATCAGCCTCCCAGCCCCAACCAGAACACCACATTCTTTTTGTTCCTTTGTTTTGAGACAGGGTCTCACTATGTAGCCCAGGCTGCCCTCAAACTCCTGATCTTCCTGCCTTAGCCTTCTGAGGCAGGAGGATCACCACAAGTTTGAGGCCAGCCCCAACTACATAGCAAGGCCCTGTCTCAAAACAACAACAAAATCAAAACAAAACAAAAATTATGGGATCCTTCTGCCTCAGCCTCCCAAATGCTGGGATTACATGCATGCGCCACCATGTCTGACTTTATTTTTTTTAAGCTTATTTTCAATTGACACATAGTAAGTATACATATTTATGGGGTACAGCATCAGGACAGTGATTGTTATAGGGCCGGGGATTTAGCTCAGAGGTTCTGCTGCCTGCCTCCCAAGCACAAGGTTCAGAATTTGATCCCTGGTACAAAAAAAAAATACTTATTACAGCTACAGTTTTAATGCTTTTGTTTCTTGTTTGTGTCTTTTTTTTTTTTAATAGTACTGGGCTTTGAATCCAGGATCTTCTACCTGCTAGGTGAATACTCTACCACTAAAAATACTTATTACAGCTACAGTTTTAATGCTTTTGTTTCTTGTTTGTGTCTTTTTTTTTTTTTAATAGTACTGGGCTTTGAATCCAGGATCTTCTACCTGCTAGGCGAATACTCTACCACTGAGCTACATCCCCAGCTCCTAATAGCTACAGTTTATTGAGCTCTAAGACACAGAAGACCCTTTTCCAAGTCCTTTTGTGAGTATTATTTCATTAAAAGTTCCAAGAATTCCCTGTGGGAAGCAGTCTTTCTTTCCATTTGGTGCACTGAGGCACACAGCCATTCTGAGACCTTCAGACTCCTAAGGTCCAAACTCTTGATGAAAGGAGGGGGAATCTCTGTCCTCAGCCCCTTTTCCAGGCTGTGCATCAGTTTGCAGAATAGCTGGATGGAACAGGGCCTTGGAAGCTACATGTGGTGATACACACCTCTAATCCAGCACTCTGTGAGGCTGAGGCGGGAGGCTTGCAATTTTGAGCCCATCCTGGGCAACCTAGTGAGACGCTGTCTAAAACAAAACAAAAAAAAAAAAAAAAACTGGGGGCCAGGGATTTAGTTCAGTGGTTCCGCTGCCTGCCTTATAAGCGCAAGGTCCTGAGTTCGATCTCCGCTACCAAAAACAAAATCAAACAAAAAAACAGTCCAGGAAACTGAAAGCATAAGGGCCCAAGTTCAACCCACAGAACCAAAAGAAAAGAAAAAAAGGACCAGGGATTTAGCTCAGTCGCAATACCATGCCTCCCAATCACAAGGTCCTGAGTCCAATCCCAGGCACTGGGGGGAAAAAAGTGGGGTGGAGACATAGAGAAAGAACAGAAAAGATCAGAACTGGGGATAAGGCTCAATGCCAAGGCCCTGGGTTCAATCCTCATTACCAAACACAAAGACCCTGGAGTGACAATGGGACCCAAAAACAACGTAGCTGCAGGGCCAGGGAAAGGAGAGAGTAGCTGTTGGGCTTTACCAAGGTCAAGGTCAGAGCCAGGGAGCCCTGAGGTCGGCCACCGCCTCTGCTCGCTCCCGCTCTCCTGAGAACCTCAGTCCTGCACCTCCTTGGCTCTGGGAAGACCTCTGAGCTCAGGACGGACGAGGGACAGTCACAGACCCAGCATGACCATCACCAGACAGACACAAGAAGGGTGGAGGGAGGCCCAAGCCCAGGCCCCATGGGAGCTGCTCCATCTGGGGTCTGGGGCTCATGTGTTTAGTTGTTCTGTTTTTTTGTTGTTGTTTTTTTTCAATGTGAAACTTTTTTTCGTTGTTTGCTAAGATGTTGACTGGAACCTGGGTCTAAGACAGTTTAAGGAGAACCTGCTCTGTGTGCTGGACGACAGGCAGAGGCTGGGATGCTTAGAAGGGTCCCAGGACACACTTAGAAAACCACTGGCTGGATATGTCAGACAGATGAGGAAATGGAGGCCCAGGAGGTGAAGGGCTGAGCCTGTCTGGAGTCACACAGCGGCTCAGGAAACCTACACAGTGAACCCGGAATCCCCAGATCTCTCCGAAACATCTGCCAAACCTCTGCCGGCTCAGCCACCAGCTGGGCTGGCTTGGACTGGGGTTTTTTGTTTGTTTGTTTTCGTTTTCGTTTTTTTGTGGTGCTAGAGATGGAGCCCAGGGCCTTGTGCGCTGTGGCAAGTGCTGTATGCTGGGCTTAGGCTCTGCCCTGCTCCCACTCACTTCCCACAGGGTAGGGGCAGCCCCAAAGATCTTCCTACTCAGAAATCAGCTCCTGTTACTTCTCTGCTTGAAGCTTTCCAGTGGCTGCCAAATGGACCGCAACAAAATCCAAACTCCTAGCCAGGCCCGGTGTGCAGGCCTGTAATCCTGTAGCTACTCAGGAGGCTGAGGCAGGAAGGTTCCAAGTTTAGGGCCAGCCTGGACAATTTAGCAAATCCTGGGTCAGAGGAAAAAGGGCTGAGGATGTGAAGTTCTGGCTTCAAACCCCAGAACAGCTAGAAAGGAAAAATTGAAGGAAGAAAGGGAAGGTAGAGAGACAGAAAAGGACTGATGGATTCCCCATTCCTGGCCCTGGGTGACAAGGCTCTGTCTGACGGCCTGGGCAGCCCAGTACCTCCTCTTCTCCTCCCATCCCCATCCAAAGCAGGGCCCATGCTAGTGACTCTTCCTAGCGGTAAAGCTCTGCTGACTGTAACCTGGGCCTGGCCCACACTTGTTTCTTGTTTTGCGACAAGGTCGCACTATGTAGTTCAGACTGGCCTCCAACCTGTGGTGATCCTCCTGCCTCAGCCTCCTAAATTCTGAGATTATGTAACTGTTCACCTGGCCCAGCTGAGCTCTTCCCTCACTTCTTCAATCAGCCCAAACGAGCCGGGTCTCCAACACCCCAGCATCCCGCCCAGCACCTTATATCTTGTTTGTGTCTGTCTGTCTGTCTGTCTGTCTGTCTCTCTGAATGAATGAACATTCAGGAGGATGACGACCTTGCATGTTAATTGTCCCATCTCCGGCCCCTGAGACAGGACAGGCCAAGCATACGGTAGGTGCTCAGTAAGTGAAAATGCACAGAAGCTTTGAGAAACAACCCTGGTCTGCTCACCCATCCCGATGGCTGACTCCGCTCCCTTCCCTGTGCGGCTGCAGCTAAGGCTCAGAAAAGGACCCAGAAGGGTCCTAGGGAGGAGGGGCGCAATGGGGAATGGAAAGAGCAGGATCTATCCGCCCTCTAATTGACTGGGAAAGGTCAGGGCTACTCAGTGCTGCCCCCTGTGGGGCCCTCAGCAGTTCCCCTGCCCCAACCCCGAACCTTGGGTCTCAGGACCATAAGGCTTGGTCCTGGCAAGACCAGTGCCACGCCACCTCTCTCCGCGCTCCCCTGTCCTCTTTCTCCTTCTGCCCTGTCACCCTTCATCTCTCACTCCTTCCTCCTGTGACACTAAGGGAATTTTTTCCTTCAGGAGCCTCAGTTTATCTTCCTACAAAAAAGGGGGCACAAGGGCGGGGATTTAGTCAGTGGCATCACACCTGCCTAGCAAGCGCAAGGTCCTGAGTTCGATCATCAGTACCAGAAGAAAAAAAAAAAAAGATGTTAAAAAGGGGGCACATAGCCAGGCATGGCGGTGAACACCTGTCATCCCAGCTCTTGAAGGTAGGTTGCTTGCCAGGAGTTCAAGGCCAGTCTGGACTACAAAGCAGGGCTCTATCTCAAAAAAAAAAAAAAAAAAAAAGGGGGGGCGCAATCTTTTTTTTTTTTTTTGCTCTGCGCGTGTGTGTGTGTGTGTGTGTGTGTGTGTGTGTGGTACTGTACTGAGAATTGAACCATTTGCAGTGAGCTACATACCTAGTCATCTCCCCCTTTTAACTTTCATATTGAGACAGGGTGTTGAAAAATTGCTTAGTTACCCAGTCAAACTTGAAATCCTTCTGCCTCAGCCTCCCCAGTAGCTGGATTACAGGTGTGTACCACCCTGCCTGGCCGGGGGGGCACAACCTTTATATTGATTCCTCACACATGAAAATCCTTGGTAGAATATTGCATCTAAAGTGTACAGCCCTTCGGTCTGGGGATTTAGCTCAGTGGTTCTGCTGCCTGCCTTGCAAGCACAAAGACCCGAGTTGGATCCCCGGTACAAAAAAAAATAATAATAAATAAATAAATAAAGTGTACGGTCCTGGAGCAACTATTACTCCACAGGCGCTGGAGAGCACAGGCAGAATAGATCCATTGGCAGAAGGAGTAGGTGCCCACGAGGGTGGGAGTCTCTTTGCCCCTGTTGCCCTTCTCCTCACTTGACTCCTGGCCCTGCAAAGACCCAGGCGACACGGTACACAGGCCAGAGAGTGTCTCTGGCGGCCAGCGGAAATGCACTTCCCATTGGTAATTTCCTCCCGAGGACGGGCCTAGGAGAAGCACCTGCGTCAAGGGGGTGCTGGGATGGGGGAGGGGTGCTCCAACAGACACCCCTCCCCTCCCTCTCCCCCACTGACCCCTCCCCCCACAAGCCCCCAAAGTCAGCACAGAACATCAGATGAAGAATTCCACAAGGCTGCTGCCTCTATGTGACGACTGGGCAGTGAGGCTCCGTCTGACGCCTTTTGGGTACAGCCCGGGAGGAGGCAGGCAGCTGTCTGAAACCCACCGGCCTGTCATTCTTAACTAAAGAGCGTCCCCTTCCCTGAAGGTCCCCCACTTCCTGAACCCTGTCATTTTTCACAATTCTGGTTTTATTTGGGGGTAGCTCAGGCCCTTTTGAGAATCTGCTTGAAGATGGGGACCTTCACAGAAAAGCAAGGGACCCTCAGTGTCCTGTGTGGCCGCCCCCGTGGTCAGGAGGTAACCCCCAAATCTCACAGCCTACAAGCAGCTCCCCATCTCATGGCCCCCAGCCCCACGTGGGTCCCTGCAGTCTCCTTCTGGAACAACCGGAGTGTGGAGTGAAGGGGAAGGGGAGAAAGACTGACACCCAAATCTCCTCCCGGGGGGCCACCCCTGTCCCTAAGCCCCAGCCTGCCACCCCCAGACCCAGCCAGGCCGGAGGACCTGGAGGGTTGAGAGGACAAGAGGAAAAAACAATGCAGCCCTCCCGTCACCACCACATCTCACCGGCCTTGTCCCCAAGCCACTAGGCTGGCTCCCCCTGTCCCCTCCTCTGTGGGCTCTGGCTTCCCCCGCCCCCAGCAGCCCCAGGGGACCGGCCAGCTCCGGTCTGCTCATTAGGGGACGAAATGTGATCACCGTGTCTCGCTCCCCACCTGGTGCCCTGGCGGCCAGCGGAAACTAAGGGGCAGCCGGCCACCGTGACCGGCCCTGCTGGGCCTCAGTTTCCCCATTTTTAGCAAGGGGATTTCTATTCCTGCTCCCCACGCCCACACCCCCGTCAGGGATGCTGGAGTCCTCAGATGTAACCCCCTGCTGATGTTCTAGATTCCAGCGCTTCTGGAGCCAGACCTCTGGCTCTGTTCTCGGTCCTCACACCCTAGGGCTCTAAACCTTCGCTGTCCGGTTATTATTATCTCTCGGCTTTGTGCGAGCACCCTTCTAGGTTTCCAATAGCCCAGAGTCTCACATTCCAAGATTCTGAAGTTCTATTGTTAGAACACCCATTTTTTTGAAACATTCTACGACTTTCATAATCTATTATTAAACCCTCAGTGATTTTTATCTGAGCCCAGCAAACATGAATACGTATTTCCCTTTTCTTTTTCTTTTTCTTTTTCTTTTTACAGAAACGGGAACATACACTGAATAGGTGAACCCCACTTCCTCTTTTCTCCCCTTCTCTGCTCTGGGTTTTAACGTCCCAGTGGCCTGTATTCCACGGTTTGGGACTCACAGAGGGCAATGGGGTCTCTTTGCCACCTCTACCTGGTCCCCAAATTCTTAGCCCAGGCTGCCGCCCCAGCCCTTGCTCAGCGGTCTCCGCTGAGCTATTATTTGTCTAGACTCAAACCAAATTACAGGCCCTGTCCCGAGGGAGCAGGGGGCTTCTGGGGAGAGTAAGGGCACAGGCGCAGTTAATCCACCCCACCTCTCTGCCCCTCTCAATCTCCACCCCATACTGTACCGGGTGCCCCGGCCCCTCTCCCTCCCCACCAGCGGGGTGTCAGGAACATTTGCTTGCTCTGCTCCCAAAACCCTCCCTCTGGACTCAAGCCATCCAGACTCGCCCTGGCCTCCCTCTCTGCAAAGACCTTAGACCTGGTTTGCCAAATTAATCCAACTTAGTGGCAGCCAAAAAAGCCACCTCTCGGGATGGGGACAAAAGAAGCCAGGTCTTCAGTCTGGGGGGGTCAGTTGGACAGGGGTCCCGCTCCCAGCCCAGCACTGACTCACCCTGGGGACTTTCGCTCTTGGGCCTCAGTTTCCCCGCCTGTCCAGTGGGGGAGGGGCTTGGCCTGGATGAGTGCAAGCCCTGTACCCTTCAATGTGACCACCAGAGACTGCCAAGATTTCAGCACTAATCTGCGTGAAGTACTGGAGGACTCTGAGGAGCTCCAAAGGAGAGACCCACGTCCCCAGTCCTGCTTCCTGAGGGTCCCTGGGCCTGGTCCCTTCCGTTCACAGACGTCCACACTCAAGATCCCCCAGCCCGCCCCTTTCCCACACCTGTGCTGGGGTGCTGGCATGTTACCCAGCATGCGAGTTACCCATGCACGCCAGGCGAGTGCCCCACCACTGAGCTGCACCCCAGTCCCCAAGGGTGCCCCATTATATGATTTCCAGAGTTCGGAGTGCCCCCAGCTGTCTCTCTCACCCTTTCCATCTGGGGTCCCCTCCCAGAAATGTAAATCCCCACTCGTCACCCCAAACCCGAAGTCAGGTTCATCCACACAGAGCAGGCAGAGGTGTGGGGTTCTTGGTGGCTCCTGAAAGAGAGGGGCTGACAGGGGGCCCTCAGAGGAGTGCCCATCCTCTCCATCAGCACCTCCGTGTGTCCAGCTCGAGTGCTCGTGTGTGCACGCACACACCTGCACCCGCACT